TGCAACAAGGTCGTCGCTGCAAATATATGGACTCTTTGATTATTACTTTCGTTTTCAATTAATTTATTATTTTCAGGTTAAAAGCTCTTTGAAGTGTCACGACCATAAACATTGCGTTATCTAAGTACTAATAATTATTTCATTCAATTTTGAAAATAACAATTTGTTTCATTAGAACATAAAGATTACTGAAGTTCATTAATGACACATTTTTTTCAAAGGTTATCGACATTAATTGAATTACTCTGCTTTAATACAGTTTAACCCTTCATTATTCCGAGAATTTGAGTTTAAATTGTAAACACTAGCTATTCTTTCTCAACTCTCCAGATTTCGACATGCCGCTATCATAGAAAATTTTCATATTAGTTATTATTATAACGTAGCCGACAAAAATATCTGCATCGATGTCGTGTATTTAACAGTAACCACTTAAAAAAGCTGTTACAAAATTATTCATTTACAAAATATAAAAATAGCACTTTTACAGATTTTTGTTTCCGATTATATGACAGAAGACCGTTTACAAAATAAGATCTACAAGTATAGCTATGGGTATTTGTTGTACCTCCGAGTATAGATTGTACTAAAACTTTTCAAATATTAAAGTAATTACAAATTACTAATAATTATTTATTTCAAAATTGTTGTCGACACAGATGGTTGTGAAAATTGGAAATAAAGTTGGCAGTTGGTAGTACAAGTATCTAGAGCACTGTTACGTTGATCGGTGAATAAAATCGGCGTGGGTAAAACTCAACAATTTATTTCTTACTATCTCGAATTTACACGACTAATTACACAGCGATTATGTACAAAATAATTCCGGCGCAACTTAACTGGCTCTTCTTAACATTCGCTGGACTCGACTCGACTCGACTGAATAATAATCGTTCCCGAAGGTGGCCTCTACTTAAACCCATACTTCCTTTCCAGAAGTCGAGGTCTTTCTGGATTGCCCATCGCGAATTCCGCCCGGCCACGTCATCGGTGATGAGTCACTCATCATCCTCGCACATTCTAGAAAACCCATAGGCGTCGTACCTGGGCGGCGTATGGGTTTATTTCATAACGGTACTTTACTAGTAACAGTAAAATTATAAATTTATTTCTTTGTTGATAATAATTCAATTGTCTTGTCAAAGACACGTGTCGGTGCATTCTTCATCGTTTTGAATTGGCTTCTTTTACAATTTTTTATAATAAAATCAATGTTGTTTTTAAGCGAAAGAAAACGTGGGTGGGCAGGGCTAGAAGCTGCTAAAATCACTTTTATCTTAGCAGCTATTAGCCCCGCCCACCCGCCCTCTATTTTCTGAGAGGGAGCTCATTTGCCAAAATCATTCTTGGCTTGGTAGGTGCTAGGAGCGCCCACCCACCCTATATTTTCTTAGAGGGTATTTCATTCATAGCAACTACTAGCTAGGATAAGACTGATTTTGGCAAATGACATACCCTCTAAGAAATGAAAGGGTGGGTGGGCGGTTCTGGTACCTGCTAGGATAAGACTGATTTGGCAAATGAGATCCGTCTAAGAAAATAGAGGGCGGGTGGACGGGGTTAGTACCTGCTAATTTAAAATTGATTTTGCCAAGAAAATAGAGGGCGGACGGCTGGAGCTAGCACCTGCTAAGATAAAACTGATTTTAATAAATTATTATAAGAAAAGACACTAGAGCCTCCAAAGAATTTTCAAATTTTTTCCACTCAGAAAAACCCAGAACCTCAAGGTTGTTTTAAATTTTTCAAAAAAAAAACGGAGTCCCAAAATTAACTCAAAAACAGGTCGAATTTTTTAATTCTAAAAAAACATGAATTATGCAAATTGGGTTGGGAATAGAGGCCTACTTCCATGGCCAGTTTGCAGTCAGGATTTAATGCCCTTAGATTTTTTTTAGAGTTTTAACTGCTTTTTTTTTTCAAATTATAGAACACGTATACGACGCGCGCCGGAATAGTATGTCGAGTTCGAGCTACGAGCTCGAACTCGGTGTCGGTGTCCTCGACACCGACACCGGTCTGAACTGAGTCTGAGAATGGGCATGTAACGCCGCGCTATAGAAAGAGAGATAAATAAACTATTTAATAAAATGTGTTCGTTTAATTGTTCCAACGACTAAATTAGGTACAACAATTGATGCCGTTTTCACACGCTTTATTACTGATTTAAGAACTGATATTTATATCACTCATTTTAGTCACCATAGGCCACTAACAACTGTATTAACTGATAGGGAGAAAGATACCGAAGGCGATAACGCTATGATTGAACAGTAATTCGTATTTTAAATCGAATAAGATATAAATACTGCTCTAGCATTTGTAAATATTTAGTTGTTCCTTTAGTTGGTAAATTACACATTGTACTTTTTTTTTATGCAACATTATTATAATAATTAATTATCATATTTTTATATGATATATATATATATGGTCCTAGTACCCGTAATGATAGAAGTCTTGCCTGAATGCCGGTCATTTCCGGGTCAGTGGTGGGTCTTAAAAAGTATATTTTATAATGAACAACAATTGACAATACATGGGTATTTATTTTAATTAACCCAGTCATCATTAACCATCTTTTTGCCAAAAAATACAAATGCAACATATTTTTGGTTTTTATTATTTTTTAAGAGAAAATTAATGACTTCGTCACGTATACGTGTTTAATTTATGTAAATTGATAACGCAGAGTTAAAACTCCATCCGTGTGTCCCTGGGTCGACGCACTCTTTTTTGTGCTACCTAATGAAAAGATTGGGCTTATTTGCGATTGTTGCATGTTTCAGAAGTTAAAAAATTGACCTAAGCATGCTCATTCGTGCCTCTTTAGCACGGGATACCCTATTAACCACAACGAGTCGCGAACTAATAGAGTTTTGTGTTCAGTGTGAATAGCGATACATAGTTCATATGCTCAAATGACTGTTTTTGACACAAATTTAAAAAACAATTTTACATACAAATCGTACTAATTGATCGTGAAATATAGTGGTAGAACTGTATTTTAGTCAATCGTAGTTTTTTTTTATATTTATTACTTTTATTTTTTATCGACTGAAAATGAAATAAACGCTGGGGGTTTTACATCGTTGTTATCGTAATTTCATGTCTGTCAAAATCCGTTAAAAATGTATACATTGCAATTTAAGAAAAAATGGCTTTGTGTCGCGACTCCGACGCCATATATGCTCCATATTTGCACTGTACTAAATTAAGGTTCCTCCTTCAAGCTAGCAGTGGTACATATAGTATTTCAATATCTCTGTCTGTTTTCAGGTTATAAAGGTGTGGAGTTTTATCTGGAACACCCTGTATAATTGAGTTGTAATTAATTAGTCAAGATACTGGTAAGATAGAATTTGTATGAAGAATAGCTTGACTATTTCAAAAAAATTTCTAAACAGTGCTCAAAGAATGTTTTTTATGCTTTGATATTACATATTAATTTATTTACTTTTTTTTAATTGTTGCACCAAGTTCTTAAAGCTCTTTTAAAATAACGAGCAAACATAGTATTGTTCGTCAATAATATAAATCCTCACATTAAGCTTCCAAAATTCCGACAAAATATATCACCCTTTTAACAATGCCCAGATTTTTTTTCAATTTTATAAACAGTTCTTGAAATACATTCAAAATAAACCTCAGGATATTTTCTTTTGATAGCTAAAACCAAAAAATATTCGCCAGCTTTTCTTTTAATATTATTAAGAATAACTGTGATTTACACCAAACTCCTTTTAAAATGCGTAAAATTGGTGGATCCAAAATTCATTTTAAACATGTAATTTTCGCATGACCCTTCTGCAAAGAATTGACCAAATTTATTAATGACGTCCCTCTGTTCATTGATGATTAATTACAACAATAATAATTGTGGGTACTGAAATTACCGTGTTTCGTGTGTCTGTACAATTAAGATGTAATTAACTGTAATTAATGAGTTTTTGTTCTTTCCGCATACAACTTAGCACATTTGAACTTTCTTCGTCATTGGCTGTTAATCATTCGGAGCGCTTTGAGTTTTTTCACATCGCTTCTCCTCTTACAACTTGTATTAAATTTTATGACAACACGTTGATGATTCACTTCAATACTGCCGCACATTCAAAGTGTTTTGACAGTTCGTTTATAATTAACATACCTACCAACCCATCAGTTTTTTTCTTTCCTTTCGCAATCTTTGCGTTGCTTAAGCTCAAACTTTTGTCACATATGTTGTATATATATTTTCATTTAGCTTAGCTGACAGAGATGTTAATTTTATTTGATATAAAACAGTACTTTTATTCATAACTTCTTCTATGTACCCCTTCTATCGGTTTTTTCGGTCGACGAAGTACTAACATTATAAAACTTGCTGTTTTATCATTTTTTTTGACTTTATATAAGTAAAATAAAGTTACAACTTCATTGTGAGAATCTGAGTTACTGTATTTTCTTCGTCGAGATAATAGAATTCGCAAAAGTTCGAGACCACTGAATGTCAAATTAGCACTACTATTTAATAAGCAATCAAGAATGTGTAATTATATTCCTGGTCTAAACAGAGATACGTAGTTAACTTTATTTACATATAATTCTCGTTAAACTTAATGTTGCTAACATAAAAAATGCTGCATGAAGTGCCAATGCTGGCCCAGTCTCATCATCATGTACATTAAGCTCAATGCTGAATGTAATTTAATAATTAATATTGAAATAAAAACATATGAAAAATTTAGGTACAAGTGAAACAAACTCCAAAAATAAAAGAATAAAAAGAGCATGTTACGAAATGACCCATATTCGAGGCCGTATCAAGCTTACCCGAAACTAAGTTCGCGCTGTTTCGCCTCCAACATTTCATATAAAAAGAATATAAGGTGTGAAGACAGCGCTTGGAAAAAATCCAGGACTATCATTACGGCGATGATGACGCACTTGTTGCAGTACACAATGAGAAAAATATTACCTATGTGAAGTGAATGCTACGTGTCGCACCAACCCAGCTTCAATCTTTCCATAATAAAGCAATATTAAGATGCAGAATACGTCAGCTTACCTGTAACAAAGAGACTATATTATAATATTACAACATGAGAAGTCGTCCATCTTGTCATTCCTGCTACTCATTTAAATATCCCCTAACTTGAAACTGGATAGAGACAACAAAGTCATTTATATTATAATAAGTTCAATAAAATATAAACGAACGCAACAGTTGCCACAAAGTTAAATAAATACAAATCTCGTACATTACACTAAACGAGTCACGGTTTTTTCTACATTATATGGTCAATTTGCTTAGTAATTGCTATTTTTTTTTCTAGAAGTACCTTGCTTATTAAAGAAGATATATCAACATGTCATGTCACGTTAAAAACGTAAAAACATTATAATTTAGCACAGATATAACAATAAAGATAGTCGTACTGCAATTCTCAGTTATTTCTGAAGTATTATTTTTTCAGTTTGTTCCAGAATGTAGAATTAGCCAAATTTGTGACATCATGTCTACCTACTGATACTGTCAGTCGAAAATTCATAACCCAAAAAGTTTTATGCATTCAATTATTTCAGCAATTAATACACCTGGTTGCATGATTTCGAAATAATGACCAACAAATTTTATAATTGAACCGTGAATCAACGTAGTTTTACTTACAGTAAAGAATAAAAATTTCATTATCAAGGTGAGACGTCACTCTGTACTCTGTAAAACGATGAGTTACGAGTTTCAGTTGGTGCTAGTATTAAATATGAATCTATCTTGAAAAATTGTTGACTCCGAGTTGAGTCCAGTAAGCAACACTCCTGCTGGGTGGAGAATATTTTTGCCATTTTCGACAATGTAAAAAAATTGGTCTAAAAAGTTTAGACAGTACTTCCCTCGCTGTCGGAAATGATGACTCCATACTGCATGGTAATTTAAAAAATTTTGCGATGACGTCATCAACTTTTTTGCAAGGAGACGTATATCAGTTTGGATAGATGTAGTGTAATACTAAAAATAAGAGTACTATATTTCCAAATTTTCAGAAAATGAATCGGGTCGTCTTGAATATTGAATTATAATCAATAAAACAACGAAACAGTTTACTCACGTATGCCGCGTGTATTAGCAGAGGCGACTCAAAATCATTTATGTATAAGCATTCTTAATTTAAGACAACAAGCGGTAACACTTGTTGAGTTGTACACATGAGGGTCAAACAGAGAAACTACAAACAATACCGATGGTCGTCCAGACTTTTTTATTGCTTCGACTTCCGCTTATTATACAGTATGTCCCCGAATTGAGTTCACAAGAGGAAAAAAAACTGTATTTTCTATTTTACAAAAAACTGACATAGGAATAACATTTTTTGCTTATTCAAAACGAATAAATCTGCAATTAAAACTTCAATATTCCTGGTCTGTACTCTTAAAATTAATTTTTCATAGTTCTTCGTTACTTCTAGTTTTTTTCGATTTTAAGGACAGCCTGATAATATTAAAATTTTAATTGCAGATTTATTCGTTTTGAATTAAGCAAAAAATGTTATTCTTATGTAATTTTTTTGTACAATAGAAAATACAGTTTTTTTTCCTCTTTTGAACTCAATCAGGGGACATACTGTATAAAACATTGGATTTTATTTAAATTTTTGATGGTGTAATTCACAATTGGTTGATTTTAACTTGTCTATACCACATTCACGAAACCTAGTCAGCCCAACAATACAAATGCACGTCTGTAATGTTAAAGTAAATATAAATAAGTGTGCTACGCCTATGTTTCAAACGAGTTTTTACTTTAGAAAATTTTGTGTCTTTCAAATTGGGTTAGTGCAATGTAATACTAATAATAACAGTATCTCCAAATTTTCGGGAAAATGGAGTGAACTATTCCTGATTTAATCAATAAAATAAATTGACTCATTCATTAATTTTTTTGAGCAACCTGTTAAGCAAATCTAAAAAATATGGAATGATAAATCACAAGTACAGACTCATTATATTTTGTACATTTTAGATAGGACTTATTCGGCAAACTTTTGAGGTAACGTCATCAATTTTTTGGAGGGGACAAGTAAATATATTTTGAATAAAAATTTATCATGCTTAGCATAACTGTAAACCATCTGCAAGATTTCAAAGCATTCGGTTTTACAGATTCCAAATTAAATTGAAAAATGTTGTTTCATAATTTTGATTTTTTTTTTCAAAAAATATGGACGTTTCGGGTAAAAACTCAATTCGGAGTCATAAACTACATGTGTAGGACTATGTTATTTTATACAATTTAAAACCCATTTACTATGTACAATTTTGAAGTGACGTCATCACATTATATTGGTGGTGATGATTAGGCAAATTTTGGTTAGCGTTTTACCATTTGCATGATATTCCTAATATAAATCCAAATTTCACTACAGTTGGTCCAGTACTTTCGGATATTATCTGTCTAATAAAAATCCGGGACGGCAGACAGACGGACGGACGGACGGACGGACGGACGGACGGACAGACGGACAGACAGACGGAAACGAGAGACCCATTTCTTCGTCTTCTAGGGGTCATGAAAGGTCGAGAAAATGTAAAAGTAGCGAGTCGGCCGACGGACTCGATTACAATACTTCCTTTGCTTACGCTCGGAAAGTAAAAATTATTCAAATATGTTAGATCTTCATTAAAAAGTAACGTATCTACGTCAGTTTTAAAAGACAGTAGCAACTCCAAAATAATCGACGATCACTCGCAGGTGCGTTTACTTAAGCGCGGTCCACAAATACTTACCCAATTATTTTGACTTCCCGAATCTCCAACTCAATTACCCACATTACTTTCAACCAATCGTTGATCGAGAAAAGTCTAAAAACTTTGGATACTTCTTGTTCTCCTGGTCCTTTTGATGCAACGTTCTTTTGCTACGGGTGTGCTGCCCAAGGTCTGGAAGACTTCTGCAGTGACTCTTATTTTTAAAAAAGGTGACAGTGGTAGCAATTATAGACCAATTAGTTTGACTCCCATTGTTGCCAAAATTATGGAACGTATATCACCCAGTTACGACCATTCTGATTTGATCACAATATTATTCCCAAAGAACAAGACGGATTTAATCCTGGGAGATCTGTAATCACTAATTTATTGCTCTGCGTCGACGACTGGACTAAAATGTACCCCATCGCAGATTTCTGTATAATTTTGAGCATCTTGGAGTGAGGGGACCATTGTTGGACTGGCTATCCTTTTATTTAAGAGGCCGTATTTTTCGAGTACGAGTTAGTTGTCATCTGTCTGACGAAGCCGAGGTGTATAGCGGTGTCTCTCAAGGTTTGGTTATCGGTCCGTTACTTTTCCTACTATATGTATTCGATATGTATCCGATATGAAACTATACTGTAATCCTTGCACCTCATCTCAGCAACTACAAAATGATCATAACTCCCTAGCTCAGTGGTGTGACAATTGGATATTGCCATTAAATGTTTTTTTAATTTTTAAATTGTACGAGTATTACACCTTGGAAACAATAATCCTACATTTAGTTATTTTGTCAACAATTTAAAACTAAAAGTAGTTGATTCGCATGTTGATCTAGAGGTCACTATTACTAACACCTTGTCCTGGTCTCCACACATTGCAAAAATTTGTAGTCAAGACAAGGGTACCTGGTTTCTCATATATAGAGCCTTTATAGACGCACCTCCTGAGATTCTTGCTACGTTATATAAAATTTACTGTCGACCTGTTCTGGAGTTCGCGGGTCCTGTGTGGAGTATGGACTGAGAACATGCCCGAGGTCTTCTGGAATCTGTACGACGCCTAGCAACTCGTCTGTCCCATGGCCAGAATCGGCCGTCTTACGATGACTTAAACTTATTCAATTTAACCACCTTTGATCGCAGACGTGCGCGTGGTGACTTAATCATTATTTATTGTGTTGTTCATTTATTGTTGTTTAGGTCATTTGGAATCTCTTCTCTTGTTCAATACTTTTACCCTACTTCATCGCCACAATTATAAACTCTTGAAAGAATCATATAGAACAAAATGTCGCCAAGGTTTTTAAACTAATCCTGTTTGCGATTCCTGGAATAACCTACCTTCAACCACTGTTTCGGCACCCTCCCTTAACTCTTCTAAAAATCAAATTGATAAAATTTATTAATCATTTCTTCATATCGAACATTATAGATAGTCTCCTCGTTCGACCTCCTTTCTTTAATAATAATAATAATAATAATGATAATAATATATTAAAGTCTGTGCAAAAATAACTAAAAAAAAAAAAAAACTATGTTCAACGCTATGCTGTTTTTCAGTCAGTGTTGTAAGGAGTAGGGAAAAAGGCAGATCCAAAGGTGGTAAAGGGGTAGATAGTTTTAGTTTTTGAAAGACGTGATGATGCTGTGGCGGGACAATAACAGTGGATACCTGTCCGGCAAGCGGGTGACGTGTGGTACGATTCCCACCGAGGCAGCAACATTTTTTTTCGCTTACCTTCAATGCCAACCTTGCAAGTGAATTCTCTTTCAGCTCCCGTCACAAGGCTGTTTTTAGCAAACGCCATTGCTTTTTGCTTGAAGGAAGTAGTCAGAGTTGACGAAAGCTCTCAGAACAAATTTGAAGCTGTGAAGGTTCAAACTATCAACTTTTTTATTTACACAGAGTGCTTATTTATTTTTGATAGGCTCTTGGGGTATTAACGATATTAATAAAAAATTAAAAAAAGGAACTAAACACCAAGATAACTGAAATACTAAAGTAGAAAAACTTACAATTAATTACAATTAAAGGGGGATCGAAAAATTCAGACTATAAGTACAAAAGACTCTTTTAATTTTTTTTTTGATGCTTTAAGAGTTCATATACGCTGATCTATCATCGCATTTTTGCTGTCAATTATTGGTATGGTATCAGTTTATGTTTTTAAATAACATGCAAACACTTTACGTTTTACTTAAAAAATACCAGTATATTCATGTGTAGATCTAGTCTAGCCAACGTCGATTGCGGTAGAATTAGATATAAAGAATATTTGCTTGGAAAAACAAATGAAATTACAATCAAATTCCAACCACAAAACTTTTTCTTATCATATTTTGACTAATTTGATCATATTATCCGAACATACAAAAAACTCTTGTGGCGTAAAAGCTCTTAAAAAAGCCTCTATTGTAACGCCAACATTAAAAATATTCATTTAACTAAAATAGCATTTATAGATTTCAGTTATAAACTAATCAACTCACGATAAGTGTGCATGAACAAAACAAAAACCATTAATAAGTCTCTAAAAGAAGTATTAAATAAATTGAATCCGAAAAACCTTTAGCGTTATGTTTAAAAAAGTAATATAATCCACTACAATATTCTCCAATAACTTAAAAAAAAAACAAACTGGAAGAAGTCAGCCAAACATGCGTCTTGAGTCTTGTACACACTGTGGCATAAAATTATACTTTCATACTTTTCCCTTAAAGCTAAAAACAACGGCACATGCAAAATTTCAGTAACTCGATCTAATTTGGACACGTATGCTACGAAATACGTGATATATTTTTAGATTTTACAGTTTCGTATTTTCTTGTGTACACAGTATGGCAAACACGAAGGTGAGAAATGAATCAACAGTCATAAAATCCAGATTTCTTTACGTATGAGACTTTAAAGCTTAGTCACTCAATATTGTTTTTTTTTTTCCTCTTAATAACATTCATAATGGTTAATAGTTGTGCGACGAGAAGCACGTAACACTTATCGATAAAAGTATTGTTTCCTTCTGTAAAGAATGGAAGGAAACAGGCCGTGCATAAAGAAACATTAGAACATGTAACTCAACAATAAGGCCAACCAAATTGAAAAAATGTGGCTATACTTGCACCGAATTTTCCGCTCTTTTCAAAGACTATAAATGCGACAATTACCGGAGGTGTAATTGTCAAGATGGATTTATTTAATTAACTTTGACTAGGATGACGCCATCGATCGTGATAAATGTAATTCATTGTATCTACATTAACCTTTTTTATAGTATTGTATGTAATCATTGCTAAAATATTAATATTATAATAATTAATAATAAAAATCTCACCAACAGTAGTCTCCAAAGGATTAGGTGATACACTTATTTAATCTCAAAATCCATGTTAATATCGTAGAAAAATTTCATGACAATGACTGTGAAGTATGTTATTTTAGATAAAATACAACAAACAGTGAATACCCGTACTTATGAAATTGAAAATAACGTTGAGATCAGATATGGTGAACAGAAAAATTTTGGTCAGGGTTTTATCATCTTCAATATTATAATCTCGCAGTGCATTCTTGCATGTTTAAGCAATTTAGACGATAGTTTGAGTAAACTTACTACTCGTAATTTCTACGACCTGTGAAACGTCAAGAAAACATAAAATTATGTGTACATTGTGGTACTACACAGCTTACACTTTCACTATCGCTTCGAGAAGTACCAAGTGCTTTGCTCGAAGATTAGCCAAACATATTTGTGACCAACAAGTCTAATTTTAATAATCCCTAATTGTCTAAGAAATTCCACAGAACACAACATCTGCCATCTGGAAAGTACGAATTAGTCGTGCAAAAATAGTAATTAATTTTTTTACTGCTTTACCCGAGCAACTCAACACGCCCGTAATTGTCTTTCCGGAAATAAGGGTACTAAATATACAAACCGCAGTTGTTTATTTATACACAAACAATAGAGAGATCATTCTATTTTATGTCCGCACCATTAAATCGATCTTTAATGATCCATGTAAAGCTAAACCACAATAACAGTTTTCCAACAAACGACTTATTAGGTGTTGATAAACTCGTTTTACACCGTTCGACAAACATCTCGATAAAAACAATAATATCTACAACTTAATTTAATAGCGAACAAAAAATCAAGCCGACACCCACATATTTCGTATCTCGCAACAAACATATGTTAAAACATTTTTTTAACAAGTTACATTCGCGGCTTGGAATTTAATTAATGGAATCTCTTTGTTCCTTTACAGCTAACCTTCGACTTGTAACATTGAAATATGACCGAAAATCTGCTCAAGCCACCCAAAAAAACACTCCAGTGGTGACAGACCGGAATGAAAAAGCTGAGATGCAAATGTTGTAATTTGTATAAGCAGCACGCGTCGGCAAAAAAATACGGGTGTTACATTTCATTGGTATAAACCATCCTCCCATTTTTTACCGAACACTAGTGATAATCACATGTGGCACGATTTTCCTTCACAAATTGGTGCAACCTACTTTGGGTGTTTGCGTTTTCTAATTTTACACAGAAAATTTATTTTTATTTGGAGATAATGGGAGCCCATTGCTGTGGCTACAACAACACCTTTGGCCATTATTCGCAACGCAGCTGCCTTTAAATAATCTTCCGGTACTTTGTTAATGCTATTGACGATACGTGTCATGGGCTCTATTTGAAATACGAACCATTTTCAAAGTTGATCATTGTTTCATTCACAGGATCGACACGTCTGTGCTTAGCTACGCACTGAGTGATTAGTTCCTAAATCTTTTGATGACCTACAAATGGTACAGTTAAAATTACAGGCTTTTGCCTCGGCTTCAACATGAATGCCAGCACGAACTTACACAATTCTGGAGCTGCAAAGTTCATGTTCGATGTCGACTTTCGTAACTAATTTTAAAGCATTTCCGATCGTTGTTTTGATTCTGCCCCATTTACACATTGTGGGATGATAAGAAAGTAGTACCAATGTCCGCTGCTTTGTCTTGAACCCATTTCGGTGATTCGATCAAGTGTTTTTCGAATGACGTAACTCCAAACTATAAATAAAGATATTCGGTCGTTTCATGAACGAAGGTCGTTGAATTTTCTCAGGAGGATCAAACTAAGTTTTCAGTTTATTTTCGAGTCTGCTCAAATATGGCCAAGTTTTCACATTAATATCAAATTGGATAACTTTGGATCAATCTTCAGTGATGCGATACTTTTCACTTAATCTTAACGGCGGCGGCACAACACAGTTAACAGCGCCTATAAAACGGTTTTCAGCACTTAATAGAAACACAACAAAGTGGTCTGAAGAAATAAAGAGGTTTATCTACTGTCGAAAGTATTTGGAAATTTCAAATTAAAACAATCGGACGACAATAATTTAGCACTGACAACGAATTCCGACAAACAAAGAAGTTCTTTCAAGCAGTTTAACTTAACAAAATGGGCATTAAAACTTTATTGTTCTTTCAATATCATTGCTCGTTTTTTCCACAATGAAATATGTAATACGTTTTCGGTGGTACAACTTGGGAGCTGGAAATAGGTTTTTCGTAATTAAGATAAAATTAAAATTTCATTAGAGTTAAACCCAATAAACAAATCACCTAGATTTACGTTTAAAGTCCGAAGTTTTATTACGGAAGTTTAAATTTCACTGATGCATTTCAGGTTAGAACCCGCTATAAACTGTTTTCTTATTTTCTGTTACGTGCCGAAACGAATTTTGACGTGATTGAAATTTAATTTTATAAAGCAATAAAAGGACCATAAAATTTAATGGAATTCCAAAAAGTAGGAATCATCGACAAAGGGATTTAGAAGAGTTAATTTTGTCAAACTCATTTACTGCAAATGCAGTAATAAAACAACTTATATGTTTCTTCATTCTGTTATACAAAGTGAAAAATATTTGCAGTACTTTTCTTTAGTTTTATATAACTTTACTAATTTTTTAATAAGTATCTAATCCACGACAAAAGAACGAGTATTATGTAATTTAAAATATAAAACATAGTATGGAAAGTACAATGTCAATCGAAAGCAGATAAAACGAGGCGAGTTCGAGAGATTTTTTTTCCGAGATGCTACTGAAAGCACTCCTCAGAGAATATCGTATAACTTGTTTTTCACTGAACTGTTTTTACAAAAAATAATTGCTTTCATGTATAGTAATGGCTATTACATAAATACTTACTAAACGAGCACTATCATAAAAATTTTATTGACTGCTATCAAAGACAGTGACAATATAAATTTGTCGTGGAAAATATGCGATTAATTTAAATTTACATATGGACATAAGTATCCACATTCTTAGGTATATTTTACAAAATTGCTTTTTGAACAGTCTCTTTTAATAGCGTCACGCTAAAATAGAAAAAATTTAGCAATAACTTATCATATAACAGTGAAATCTTATCATATGAAGCGTAGCTGCGCGTACGTTTCAAATGAGTTTGTCCTTAACAAAATTTTGTGATGACGTACATTTTTGCAAAGACATATATCACTTTGGATAGGTGCAGTGTAATACTAATGATAACAGAATTGTATTCCCAAATTTTCGAGAAAATGGGAATAAAATAGATTGGCTCATTTAGTCACCCTCTATAAGCAATTCAAAAACTTTTCAAAAAAATCAAGTATAGACTCATATTTTGTACATTTCGGATTGGATTTATTCAGCAAACTTTTGAGATGACTCCTTCATAAATTTTTTTGAGTCGACCTATATTAAGTAATTCTAAAAACTATGAGTGCGTTGATAAACCACAAATGTAGAGTTGCATATTTCAGAGACAACATTCTGAGATGACGTCATCAATTTTTTGAGAGGGGATAAACCAATAGATTTTACTTAACAATTTACCATGATTACGGTAATCTTAAGATGTTTGCAAAATTTGAAAGCATTATAGTTTTGCAGTTTCAAAATTAAATTTCAAAATATTGTTACACAATTTTGAATTTTTTTCCCCAAATCTGAATGTCTATGGTGAAAATTCGACATGGATTCACACACCACAAGTGCAGGAGTATCTTATTTTATAAAATTAACAAAAATACTATTATAAATGTTTGGAGATGACATCATCCCACTGGTGGTGCCGATGATTAGCCAAATTTAGTTAGCGTTTTACTACCTGATATTTCTAATATATGTACATACAAAATTTGATAGTAATCGGTCTGGTAGTTTCGGAGACTTCGTGTCCATTAAAAATGGATACAGACAACCAACAAACAGACGACAGACAGACGAAAACGGGAAACCACTTTTTTCGTACTCTATAGGTCATAAAACGTCGAGAAAACATAAAAGTGGCAAGTCGCCCAATGGACTCGATTACTATAACTATATCCTCGGCTTAAGCTCAGGAAGTAAAAAGCATCGGGTCGAAAAATATACCATGGGCTGCATATTTTAGAACGTGTTATCAAAAAGTACAATTTAAAAATTAAAATCATGAAACTTATTAACATCGTTAGTTAATAAGCATGTTATAATTTTAATTTCGAGTCAGCATGAATACGTGGATAAAACTCTGTTTTTGAAACAATAAAAGCTGAGTTTGCTGTATTTAACACAGTTACATGTGCTTCCCTTTGTGTTCTAAATTTCGTTGTGCTGATAGAATTTGATATGATAATTACTGTAGTTACATTACGATACATTTAATAAACGTCCGCGCTGGCCCCCGATTTAAATTATACTTTTAAATTAATTGAGGTTCGTCTTAGAATAATAACAATAGCCCCAGTATGATTGAAGAGTTTTATTAATTACCTCAAGTCAAAACACATTAGCACCTATTCCAGACAGTTCTTTTTTGTTTAAGATTTATGTGGGGCCACTCTATTTGACACTCTTATTATCGGATGATTGCATGATTTATAGTCAGTTGTAATATAAAATGCAGTCGGATATACGATTCATTTCAGCCTCTCTGACAACAATAGAAAAAAAGCCAACATTTTTTTTATCGGCCTCGTCCGAGAACTAATTATTTTCGAAACGAGCAAGTGTAGATGGCACATGATTGAGCTGAAGATGTAAGGAATTGCTCCCCAACAATGGCAACAACGTGACTTACGAAAACTTTTCTGCCTTTTATGCACCATCAAAGGGGAATAAATGAACGGAATCGTTGATCTCGTCTTGCGATAACATGTTTTTGTAAACACATAACATTTTTTGTTGAAAGCAAGAACATCATCAAATTTCCTCAAATGCGATTTTCCGGCTTTCTTCGGCTGAAAAAGGAGAAAAGACATAAACTTATTTCAACCGGATCGCGTTATCGCGCCACTTAAACTTTAATATCATATAAAAAATGTGTTTGTGTAAATTGAAGTGGCCTGTTAGAAAGTGAAAATCTCACGAACCGCGCAATAAAAAGTCTAATTGCGTGAATAAAATGTATCATCTAAACACCACATTGTAATTGAAATGCTGTAAAGCCGGGCCAACGACGTTAAGATAAGATGCCATTTATTATTAAAGTCAACATTCTCTACAATAAAATATTGTAAATATTTTTTTGCGTTTACGAATTCTACACATTCCTCACAAGCGCCGAACATCTTTATTGCAGAAGTCCGATCGTTGCGTGTATTAATGGCCCCGTACTTCAAGCATCAATTAATTTTATAATGGAGAGATATTCCGAAAATGTCTCACAGTGACGGTTAATGTACCATTCGTCGTAAATATTCTTGAAGAGATTTAAAACAGAGATGCATACAATCCAGATATTGTCTGTTCATGTTCCCTACTCTACTATTACTAATTACTGGTTACTACAACTTTTCGAACAAACTTGGCTTACGTGGTTAGCACACCACTTAAAATCTTGGGAAAATTGTACGAATGCACGAACATCAACAGTTCAATTGAATCTAGGACTATCACGCAATTTTTGAGAGCGGTGACCATTCTGTTCCGAGTTACAAGATTAACGAACGTGTTGTTTAAGTAAACCTGAAATTTATTTGACAACAGAATATCAAAGAAATCTTCACCTCGTAATAATGAATGAAATAATAAAGGCATCTAACAACAAAAACACATACAAGGAACCTTCACATGTTTACTTATGATGAAATAAAATAAATACGGAATAAATTCTGACACACACCAGTTTAATATTCACATAACAATGCCGCTAAACTACAATGAGGAAAAATTTTGTCATATCGCTGTCATAATAAATAGCCATATCCTACCGGATGCCTAGTGTATTTTGAACGTGCCTTCGTTCTGAGTTATGAAAAGGAATTTAGTTATAGTTTTTAGGGCGTATACTAATGACTTCACGTCCCATGATTTATTTCTTGCCATCGGAATGAATCCCTTCCGACATATAAAAACGATGTAATCGCAGTTCATAACATTAGTTTTATTTGTTTGCAATACCACTTTAAATGGTACATTTTTCTATTACGACTAAATAATATTATAGTACAAAAATAAAGTACGCAAATACGTAATTATTTTGTCACCGGGTGGATTCATATTTACTGATCGAGCTTATACTGATGAGTATTGTAATCCAATAATTTTGCTGAATGTCTCGTTTGAAATTCGACGTTCGGCAGTCTATAGAACACGAAAATGTTGGCTTTTGCCTCCGCCCGTCAATCGACTATCTGTTGGCGCTTTTATTAGTCAGATAATATCCGAAACTACGGAACTGATTACTTTGGAAAGTTAGAGTTACCCTAAAATTATTTACAGTAAAACGTTCACTATACGCTTCTTAAAATTGATGAGATTGCCTTGAAACTTAAAACGTGACATTTTCATTTGCATTTAGTGTAAGAAATTTTAAAAATTTACGCTTAGGGGTGGATAATTGTAAAAAATAAAATTTCTAAAATGA